TTAAAGCCTCAGCCTCACTTTTTCTGGAGAGGAGGGGCTGGGAGATGGGTGAAATATTTCATTCATTCATGGGAAAAGGCCTCAAGTTGCATCAAGGTAAATTTAGGTTGGATATCGGGAAAATCTTATTTACAGAAAGGGTTGTTAAGCAGTGGAATAGTCCCCCCAGGGAGGTGGTTGGGTCACCATCCCTGGATGTATTTAAAAACCATTTGGTTGTGGTGCTCAGGGACATGATTTAGCAGAGGGTTGTTAGAGTTAGGGTAGTATGGTTGGGTTGTGGTTGGACTCGATGATCTTTAACGTCTTTTCCAACCTGAGCGATCCTATGATTCTATTATTTTTTTAATTGAGCATCTGGCAGATCAAATGAATCACGAGGCTTGATCTTATAAGGAGAAAAACCAATGCCTCTAGTAAGTGAATGCAAAGCAGAACCAAAGTGCAGGAGCAGATAGGCACCAGCTTGGGGACTGTTGGCGTTAATTAGGGCCGAGTGCCACTCGCGTAACTCCCACTGCTTTCTGAAGGGTTCCAGTTCAGCTCAGTGTCAGTAGAAATGTGCAAGGGCTGCAGGCACGGGCACCTTGCACTGTTAGCAGTCACATTCTGGGACTTATTAAGGCGAGGATTTACTGAACAGACCTGCAAAATCAGTTTAATTAGCATCTACACTTCTTGGAAAGCTGCCACAGATTGCAGGGAGCTGTCGGTACAAAAAAAAAAAAAAACAAACCGTCTTCAGGTGATGGCCTGAAATGGGCTGGGGCACAGCGTGTCCTTCTCAGTGCTTTCATAGCAGCCGCGTGAGCCGTTTTGCCGAGCGGCTCCGTGAGCAGCCGCGCTGCCAGAGCGCGCTGCGCGGGCAGGCCGTCCCGCCACAGCCGTTGCTCGGGACGCGCGGGGCGGGGCGGTGGGGCGGCCGTTGCGGAGGGCGGGAGTTTTGAACGGCGGCGCTGCCGAGGAGGATGCAGGATGCAGCGGCGCGGGTCGGGAGCTGCGGGCGCGGAGCGGGTGAGGCGCGGGCACCACGCCGGGCCGCCGAGGAGGGGCGGGATGGAGCGGGGCGGTCGGGGGCTGCGGGGCCTCGCGCGTGTTCCTGTCCGCGTGCTGCCGCGGCAGCCCGCCTGCCGTACCCGCGGGGAGACGGCTGTGCGTTTGGGGGACTTGTGCGATGGGTTTCTGCTTCGCGATGTCTGGTGCGTTAGCTCAAGGAACGAGTCGTGGTTTCTTAGGGACAGATGCGGGCCTTGCTCAGTCTTTCTGGGCTGCGCAAAGTTGGACTGGGAATAAAACGTTGCTGTAAACTATTTTGCTTCTCCTCCTATAACGAGAGCGGAGACGGTACGGTGCTCTCCAGGGGTTGGTGCTGCGATCGCTGCTCCTTAACACCTCCATCACCAGCAACTCTGGGATCAAGTGCGTTCCCAGCAGCTTTGTGGATGACACCAAGCCTTGTGGTGTGATCTGCTCAACCCCTGGGTGATGGGCGCCACTCAGAGACCTGGACAAGCCTGAGCAGGGGGCCCAGGTGAACCTGATGAGCTGCAACAAATCCCAGTGCAAGGTCTTGCACCAGGGTAGCGGCAAGCCCCACTGTCAGTACAAACTGGGGCATGAAAGGATAGAGCACTGCCCTGCCACAAGGACGTGGGGGTACTGGTGGATGGCAAGCTGGACAGGAGCCAGCAACATGGCCTTGCAGCCCAGAAAGCCTACCATATCCTGGGCTGTATCAAAAGAAGCGTGGCTAGCAGGGTGAGGGAGGTGATCCTGTCCCTTTGCTTTGTCTGGTGAAGCCTACCTGGAGTACTGCGTCCACAGGTGGAGTCACAGAATCACAGAATGGCCAGGGTTGGATGGGACCTCAAGGATCATGAACCTCCAACCCCCCTGCCACATGCAGGGCCACCAACCTCCCCATTTAATACTAGACCAGGCTGCCCAGGGCCCCATCCAGCCTGCCCTTGAACACCTCCAGGGATGGGGCATCCACAAGCTCTCTGGGCAGCTGCTCCAGCACCTCACCGCTCTCTCTGTAAAGAACTTCCCCCTGACATCCAACCTAAATCTTCCATCCCTCAACTTAAAACCATTTCCCCTTGTCCTGCAGTTATCTGCGCTTTCAAAGAGTTGATTCCCCTCCCCTCTGTAGGCTCCCTTTAGGTATTGAAAGTCTGCAATGAGGTCACCCTGCAGCCTTCTTTTCTCCAGGCTGAACAAACCCAGCTCCCTTAGCCTGTTTTTGTAGGGGACGTGCTCCAGTTCCCTGATCATCTCTGTGGCTCTCCTCTGGACCCTCTCTTACAGCTCCCTGTTTTTCTTGTACTGGGTGCTCCAGAACTGGACACAGTACTCCAGATGGGGCCTCAGTACTGGAGAGACATGAACATGTTGGAGAGCATCCAAAGGAGAGCCACAAAAATCGTACAAGGGATGAAACACCTCCCCTAGGAGGACAGGCTGAGAGAGCTGGGGCTGTGCAGCCTGCAGAAGAGAAGGCTCTAGGGAGACTTTCAGTATCTAACATAGGGCCATAAGAAAGAAGAGGGCAGACCCTTTAGCAGGGGTGTTGTGATAGGGGGAATGGTTTCAAACTAAAGGAGGGGAGATTTAGATTGGATTTAAGGAAGAAATTTTTTATTATAAGGGAGGAGGTGCATGCACATGTTGCCCAGAGAGGTGGTGGATGCCCCATCCCTTGTGATATTCAAGATCAAGCTGGACCAGTCTCTGAGCAATCTGATGGAGCTATAGGTGTCCCTGTTCATTGCAGGGGAGTTGGACCAGGTGACCTTTAAGGGTTCCTTCCAGCTCATGATTCTATGAAAATGAATGATCTGCTGGTGCCTTTCTAGGTCTTCCTCTGTCAGCTGTAGAGAATTCTGGTAGAGTTTCCACCAAAATGATGATGATAGCTTTGGAAGGCATTCACCACCAAATAGCCCACTGGTGCTGGAGGGCCTAGGCTGAAGTAACCTATGCACGTCTCAAGTGTTATGCCTTGTGATGGTGCCTTGGTCTTCATTGTGTTCTCAGCGTGCCTCTTAGTTGTCTTAAGCACAATCAAATTCAGTGGAATATATATTTGCCCTGCTTTTGCTGAATTACACAAGTCTGAGATCTTCAGCATCTCGAGGGAAAAACAAAAACAAACACTTCCTTTGTTACTTGAGGAAAATGGGAAACTGTGCTTATTTATGTAGGCTTAGTGACTTGCTGTGTTGAGGTATGGGAGAAGGAGATTTTGTATGGCACTTGGTCCCATTTCAACAAAAATGAAGCTGCTGTCTCTAACAGAAGAGTTGGTAAATAGAACAAGAGGCCTAGACTGTAGAAGGGTTCTGAAGTGGCTAGAAATATAGAGTGTTACAGCTTGGGTTGTGCTGTGCTGAATGTGGCTTATGGACCAGAGCTGCTTTTCCTTTAGGGTTGGCAAATGGGGGTGGTTTGCAAAGAGAAATGTTCTGTGAGCAGATGGAAGAACAGCTGAAACATTAAGTCTCTTTAGACGATGGCATCAGGCCTTCAGAAGCAATAAAAGCCATTCCTGCAAAGACAGGAGGGAATGGCTGGTGGCTGCAGTGAGCTTCCACCTGCTGCTTGTGACTGCTATAAAGAGTTGCTTTCTCATGTCAAAGGCAGCTAATGACAGCAAGTCCCAATCAAGTAGAAAATCTGCCTCACCCCTTTCATGGGTTGTGGATTTCTCTGGTACTTGAGTTGTTGGGAAATTAATTCCCTTCTATTTCTGTTCTAGTTAGAGCCAGTTGCCAGTACTTTTCTACCAGCTGGAATACTGAACTTGCAAATTCAAATTATTGTACCAATTTCAGGCAATTGCTTATAGATCTGTCCCAGAGCACTTGTTTTGACATCAAATGTATAAGCGCTATATGGGTGAAAATAGATGATGTTTTCAATTCTGAAACAATTCCCCAGTGTCAGAAAAACCCCTCATCACTGATCTGCAATGTGTTTGCAAGCCAAGTAGTACTGGGTTATCACAGTACTACTGTGATAACGTATCTTTTTTTATGTGACAGAAATATTGTGCTTGGTCAGGGCACATCATGAGGAAAGTTATCGCATGGCATGTAGCACACCTTTGGAGGCAGCAAGCAATCAGTGGTCATTCACCTTCTGGGTCAGTATGGATAGAGCTGTTTGAAATGGCAAGTGAAGAATAATGCAAATTTATGAACGTTTCTTCAACCAGGAAGAAGATGATTTCCCAGATGTTGTTATAATACAATAAAATTACTCTTTCAGAAATAGTGATGCAGCGATTGATGGACAAATTGTACTTTGCAATGAATAATCATTGGGAGCATGACTGTGCCATCAGGGAAGACATAGTTGTAACTTCAGCATGACACAAGCACCATCTGATCTCCAGTTCACAACCTGAGGCAATCAAACATTGGGATATTCTCCTTTTCTTCACATCTGGTTGTTACCCAAATCGTATGTCAACCAGAAGTGAAAAATCATGTTTTTCAACCCTTTTCGAGGTAGCCAAAGAAGTAAAAAGACAAAATTTCAGATTTAGAATATTTCAGGTATTTTGAAATAAATTATTGATATGATATTCCTGAGTGTTAAGATTATTTTACTTGAAATCATTGAAAAAAAAAAAGTTATTCTGTAAGCTTTGTTGAGTTAGGCCTCACAGTGACCATATGGGAGGACCATATACTATCACCCTGTAAATGACTCATGGGACCACATAGTTTTTTAGTAAATTTCAGATGCTATGGTGAAGTGCTGTTAGCACGTGGTTTGAAATCTGCTTGCATAATGTATATATAGAATCAGTTTGATAATATTCTCTTTTGTGTGTGAAGAGAGCATTGTTTTGTGTTTAGTAGTAACTGTAATGACTGCATATAATTTAACTAGGACTCTGGATCCCAACTGGATCATAAATAGGACTCCTTAAAAAGTCAGGGTACTGTCAGTTGGATTTATGTGTTGTCTTTGTTGTTTTGCTTATCTAGCAACACAACATCCAAGAAAAGATGAACTTTGAAATCCGCATACGGGAAGGCATCCGTAAACTGCTTACAGTGAGCACACAGAAAGACCAGCTTTTGCAAGCAGTTAAAAACCTGATGGTCTGCAATGCACGGATACATGCATACAGGACAGAGCTGCAGAACCAAATGGAAGGGCCTGTCTCATGCAGAACTGGAAAGTGGTGAGTAAAAACTAATTCAAACTGACCATTACAAAATGGGTTTTTGTGTATGTGAATTGATTTCCACCATACACATGTATGTTGTTGCTGTAAGTCAGTGCTTTATAAGACCATTCCAATATCTTCCTTTTATTTTAGGAAATTAAATGCGAGTCATCTTTTTCTGGACAGATTTTATCATTGACATTAAGCAAATTCAGCTTATGAATATCAGCTAATGTCATAGACATATTTTCTTGATTACCTTTAGCATGTAAAAAGGTATCTAACCTGTTCTTAAGGAACAAGACAAAATTATCCCAATCAAAATACATGCATCTGTTTTTTGTTCTTTCTATTCATAAAGTCTCTTTAATGACAGAATTATCATGGCTAATTGGTACCCTCTGCTGGCCACTTTGTTAACTACATCAAAAGAGTAAAAGTACAACTTAATGAATAGTAAGAAAAGTCGGTTTAATTACCAATATTCTCATATTTCTTGAATGAACTAACGTATACACTGTTTATTTGGATAAGTGTTTTATTTTTTTCCCCAATGGAATAGATTTTGGAGGCCATGTTATGAATCGTGGAGCAGAGACACTACTGCATTCGGGTTATTGCTTTAATGAAATAACTGTACTGCAGTTCAGTGTAGAAACTCCTCAAGTACATGCTTAGCTCCAGTGAATTGTATCTGTAGGAATAACCTGCTAGTTTCTTGCTTTCAGAAATGTTTTATTACAGAAGAAATTTATTAAAGGAGAGAATTGCATTTTCTGACTGTCAACTATGGTCATGAAAGCTGATTTTGAAAGCTAGCATTGTGATTTGTATAAATATTACAGTTGTGTTGCTTCTTCTTATGAAGTGATGATCTTTATAGTGATTTGTCTTATATTTTTAATGATGGATTGACATGGAATATATATGTGTGCTGATTTACACCACTCTTGGTCTTTAATGTCTGTGACCACAGGATGGCACATGTCTGTAACACGGCACGGAAACTTAGAATCATTTAGTTTGGAAAAGACTTCTAAGATCATCCATCCTGTCCAACCATCCACCTACCACCAATATTGCCCACTAAACCATGTCCCTTAGTAGCAAGTCTACACGGTTCTCGAACTCCTCTGGGGGCAGTGACTCTACCACTCCTAAGGCAGCCTCTACCACTCCTAAGGCAGCCTGTTCCTGAGCCTGACCACTCTTTCAGAGAAGTTTTTCCTATTTTCTATCCTGAACCTCCCCTGGCACAGAGTGAGGCCATTCCCTCTTGTTCTGTCACTACCTGGGAGAAGAGGCTGACCTCCACTTTGCAGCAACCTCCTTTCAGGTAGTCGTGGAGGGCAATAAGATCTCCCCTGAGCCTCCTCCAGTCTAAACAAGCCTGGTGGAGTTTTCTTAAAGTTGGCTGTGTTGTTTAATTTGCTCAGCTTGGAGCTGTGTCTTTACGGGGTCCTTTCAGTAGTCAGCAAAGATCATTAGGACAGATACATGTCGTAGGGTTGTTTGTCTATCATTTAGATCTTATCTTTGATTGTGCACTTGATAGTACACTCACAATTCTTTCTTTTGGTACTTATAGAGTACTGGAATTTTATTAAAACTTAATCCAGAGAAGATGATGATGTCTGAGAGAGAAAATTCTGGAAGTGTTTTGGGCTTTCAAATAAACATTGTCCTTCTTTCTTACGTCTGCGGTCTGTTATTTCTGACGAAGTCATGATACAGGTAGTGATTAGAACCTGATTCGGTTAGGCACTTTGAGCAGTGGCAGACAGAAGGATTTCAGTTAGTCATTATCAATAGATTATTTTGATTCAATTTAAGGTTCAGGCTGAGATTTGCACTCTAGCCATTCTAGCCTGCATGTAAAACCACAGTTCTAACAACATGTTTTGTAATTGGTCTCTGTTAATAGAGGAGGACGCATTTCTCTGCAACCAACAGTAGGATCAATAAATGAAGCTGCTTGTTCTTTCGTGTGTACAGAAGGAGAATAGTTAATAATGTATTTGATTCTGTTGGAGCTGGAAAAGACATCAAAGATGAATCGACTTCTAATGTGCGGGTTAAATAAGCTTTGGAATAAAATCTTGTAGGGCATTAAGAAAATTGATGGTGTACCTTCCTTCCGTATTATCTTCGAGAATCTAATAACTCGTATCCTAAAGCAGAGAGACCGAATTTAACTTTAAAGAAAATTCTTTGAAATGAGCTATTATATGGTACCCCTGATGTTTTTTAATGTTTAAAAGACTGAGTTACAGTGACCTAAATGCACAGATCTCTGACTTTTAAAAATCTTTTTTCTTTTTTCCTGTTTTGGCAGGTTGTCAGGTGCTGGGACAAAGGACCGGATGGCATGTAGAGGAAAAGTTGCTCTCTCAGGTAAGTGGCTGGGTTGTCGCTTCACTGTAGCAGCCAACTGGCAGGGTAGTATCTTGTAGTAAAAAATTACACAAACATGATGATATTTTTTTAAAGTTATATTGTGATTCTGAGGGCATAAATCCTCTTGAGCTTGAAGGTGTCTTATGCTTTGAAGTCACAGACTTGCTTATGAAGATCCTACCTCACATTCCTAGTTTTCTGTCAGGGACTTTCACAGTGGGAAGTGCTTTTTATTTTCAGTCATTAAACACTGGATGCACTTCAAAGCTAAGCGTAAATGAACTGAATGTGCTGAACTGCCCTCCCCAGCCCCAAATTTGTAACGACCTAATGAACTGAGGACAAAATTGTAGCAACTATGCAAATCTTCTTTAGTTAGTGTGGGTAACTTCTACAGTAAATGTGCAGCAGTATGGCTTCAATGCAAATAAAGAACATTTATTAGTGATTTCTGGCAGGATGGTACACGGTTTCCTAGCCTGTTAACAGACTTCTGAGCTATGAGTTTATCACTTTGACTATCTGTGCTGTGTTACTCATTACGTTTGCTCTGGTAGCTTGGCTAACAGATCTGTGCTCCATGACCTGCTGCACTGAAGATAAAACAGTGTAGAAGGGCTCCCTACTTCGAAGTGTTTAAGTTAATTCTGCATGTTTTGACATATTTTTAAGAAAGGTAACCTCTAGTGGAAGAAGAGTGATGATCACATGGTACAGTAATGTTTTCTGCCAGCACAGCTGTTGCAGAGTGTAGATCTATCTGTCTTCCTTATGGTAGTAGGGTGAAAGCATCTGTCTGCCTTTCTGTGCTGTGGTTGTACCTGTCACTGGATTTATAGTTATCTGCTGTGAAGGCTTCTAAGATAATACACTTCTGTTATCTTCAGAACATCAGAATTACAAAATTGTTTGGAAGTGAAATATTTAGCTAGTTTTGATGGTACAAAGGATACTTGCTGTTATGTGTGATCTTTTAATTATTTTGTTGTGTTACTAATATGGTGGTCCTCAAATTGAAGATTGTGATCCTGAGGAACACAGCATGGATCATGGTGAAGAGTATCAGCTACCTCTTTCTAAGCTTGAGTCTGTGAGCGCTGGGATGCTGCCAGGCCTCATCCCTCTTTTTGTGTCAGGGACCCTGGTCAGGTACAGCTTACATCAGAGAAGACTGTGTGATCCTGCTTAGAGATTCATGTCTTTTAAAGATCATCTGTGAACTTCTTGTTTTCCACTCCGTGTCTGGAAAGCAGAGAACTAGGGTACGTGAGAAGGGACTGTGCGTTTGGCAAGGGCCTCTGGGCACGATTTCCAGTTGGGAGATCCTGGCACGGCACACACACCTCCCTGCTTCCTCCTTGCGTTGTCTTATGACTCTTCATCTTGTGCCTGGTGAGCACGCCGGAGCGGGTCCTGTCTGCTTCAACAGCTGTAATGTTCCATCATTCATCATTCCCTGTCTTTCCCATTATTTGTGTAGGGAATTGAACGTACCGCACTTCTCTTTTGTGTAGTGATCCGCCATGGATTTGCAATTGGAGCTGCCCAGCACATTCAGAAAGCACTCATGCATGTTTGTGTGCCTGCCCTGCCGAGAGAGCAGTTGTGAGCACAAACAGCTTGACTTGCAAGGTGTAAAGACTGAATTGGCTGGGAGAAGTTGGAGATGAGGCGTTGGTGGTAACTGTGTGTCTAGGCACGAAATTTGAGAATTGATGATAGGAAATAGATTTTTTTAATTATTTATTTATTTTTTTTTTAGAGGAAAGTAATCCATCCATGTACATCATCGTCACATGGTTAGTGTAGGTTAGAAGCTTAGGCTGTTACCAAAACAAAGAGTGGCCAACACCAAAAGGTCAGGAGCAGCTTTGCAAGAGTACTGAAGAGTGTACTCTACAGGAAGCAACTACCAGTACATCAGATACTAAGTGGAATACATTTCCTAAGACTAACATTTTCATACTTACCCCCATGTCTGTGAACAAATTATGACGTTTGTGTCTTACCAATCATTTGGGGGTATTGATTGATGCTTGGCTGAACATGAGCCAACAGTGTGCCCAGGTGGCTAAGAAGGCCAATGGCATCCTGGCTTGCATCAGAAACAGCATTGCAAGCAGGAGCAGAGAGGTGATTGTTCCCCTGTATTCAGCACTGGTGAGGCCGCACCTCGAGTACTGTGTCCAGTTTTGGGCCCCTCACTGCAAGAAAGATATTGAGGCCCTGGAACGTGTTCAAAGGAGGGCAACAAAGCTGGTGAGGGGTCTGGAACACAGGCCGTATGAGGAGAGGCTGAAGGAGCTGGGAATGTTCAGTCTGGAGAAGAGGAGGCTCAGGGGAGACCTCATTGCTCTCTATAACTTCCTGAAGGGAGCTTGTAGTGAGCTGGGGGTCGGCCTCTTCTCTCGTGTCATTAGTGATAGTGATAGTCATTAGGACCAGAGGGAATGGTTTCAAGCTACGGCAGGGGAGATTCAGGCTGGGCATTAGGAAGTATTACTTTTCAGAAAGGGTGGTCAGGCACTGGAATGGACTGCCCAGGGAGGTGGTGGAGTCACCGAGCCTGGGGGTGTTCAAGGAAAGGCTGGATGTTGTGTTGAGGGACATGGTTTAGTGGGAGCTATTGGTGATAGGTGAATGGTTGGACTGGGTGATCTTTTAGGTCTTTTCCAACCTTGGTGATTCTATGATTCTATGATTTACTTTGTCAAAAGACAACCCGTTCAATGTTGATCAAAAAGCACAATCATAATTTAAAGTTATTCCATGGAGTTCTAATGAATGTCAAAAGGAATCATTCTCTTTAAGAGTAATTAACTGTAGTGCTTGAATGTATCCAATTTTAATCCATGGGGCTTTACAGCTAATTGTAACTGAAGTTAAGAAGTGTGAAAATCGATCACTGTTTTTGATAAATTGCAGCTTTTTCAATTCAAGAATGAATTAAAAACTGATTTACAAGTATCATCTGAAACTTGTAGATGCCATTGTCTACCTAGGTGCTGGTGGTTCTTTCACTGAGGTGTAGATTTTTCAGTTAGTATGACATTGAGTGCAGCATGAAAAAGCAATGTTTACTCTATTGCTCTGTTAACAAGAACTATCAAGTGCCTTAAAATTGTCGTTTGAGGTTTGCTATAAACAAGGATGCGAAATGGTTTTTCTTGCAGTTCTTTACTGCTACATTTATGCAAATTTAAGACCTTTTATGTTTTAGGAAAGAAAAGTTCAGTACTTTTTCTATGATGTATATCTATATTTATTACATCTACATATATGTATGTGGAGTTCGAGAGACTTCTGCATCAGCTGTTTTAAGGAAAGCATTTTTTGTCTATTTCCTTATTCTAAAAATATTTAAAGGCTTTAAAAAATGCTTGCTATGCAAATGCATCTTTAGAAAGGTAGTTTCAGAACAGGGTGATGCATTTTTCGGGGTTTGGTTTTGTTTTTAGGAAGCTGTGGCAGTCTAATGCTACATACTAACAGCTCATTGTTGAGAAGTCATTAGATACTGTGAACATTTTCAAAACTAGATGTATTTGTAAGTTTCACAATTGAAATTTAATCTATAATGAGATGTTCATAATATAATCAAAATTAGCTTAAATTAAAACATTTTATTTAATATTACTTATGAAATAGGACTATATGTAGCTTTACTTAAGTCAACTAGTTGTGTGCATAAAACCCAGCAGGAATACCTGGCAAATAATCCGTTGCCAAAATAGCTCTGTTGTTTTGCATACTGTATGTGGATTTTTCCATTCGCCTTCTGTGAAGATAAACACAGGAGTCAGCAAAGCTCCCGCATAACAATATTAAAGATTTTTATCAGCGGACAACTGAGGTATTGCTGTTCACTGCTGCCATCCTGTGTCACTTAATATATTGCATGTGCTTTTATACAGCATTGTGCATTTGAAACCAGCTTTGGATTTAATGAGGCCTCACTGCATTTATCTTTCAAGAAGGAACCAGTAAGGAACGTTGTCTAAACTTGTGCCCTCAAAGCTGGGGAAAAATATCATAGAATCATAGAATGGCCTGGGTTGAAAAGGACCACTGTGATCATCTGGTTTGAACCTCCCTGCTACGTGCAGGGCCACCAACCAGCAGACCAGGCTGCCCAGAGCCACACCCAGCCTGGCCTTGAATGCCTGCAGGGATGGGGCATCCACAGCCTCCTTGGGCAACCTGTTCCAGTGTGTCACCACCCTCTGGGTGAAAAACTTCCTCCTGATATCTAACCTAAACCTCCCCTCAGTTTCAGTTTAAAACCATTCTGTACAGGAGTGGGTAGGTAAAGTGGAAAGCTTGTTGAAGAAGATACTTTCCTAATGTTAAAATGGCAGGTGACTTAAATTAATGTTTCTGTAATTGCCTCTCTACTACGATCCTGATGCAGACAGATATTTTTTATGTAAGCAAACAAACTGCAGTCTTCTAATGTCAACTGAGACAATTCTAACTAGGAACATGATTACAAATAATATTTTCTCTGTGGTTAGTAAAACAAGACTTCAGTGTTTGCAATACAAGTATCTCAATCTTTCCATTAAAACAGGAAGTTTTTCTTCTGGCAGTTGGATGAGTGGTTTCCAGCACCAGATGAGCAGAGTTTCAGCTTATCTTTGCGTGATCGTGGACTAAAATACCTCTCATAACTATGCTAAACAGCCACTCTGAAATGTTACTTTTAGGTCCTTTCAAATGAGATTTAAAGAAGTCTTTAAATAGTTTATTTATTTAATTTTTTTATTTAATAATATTAATTTTTTAATTTTTATTTAAATTTAAATAATATTAATTATTAAATAATTTATTTATTTGTTTAATAATAAATCTTTGTTCTAGCACAATTTATAAAAGAAAATGACATTTCAAATAGAAATTATTGATGTATATGACATTGGTAATAAAACTGAAATAGTTCTACTGTTCATTGTGTAGACAGCCCTATGGCCACCAGATCAACATGAAAAGAAAAAAAAATTTGTATTTAATTTTACACTCTGTTGTACGATATTACCTGTATCTTAATTTCCCTGTTTTTTCCCCCTTTAGATATTCGAATACCATTAATGTGGAAAGGCTCTGATCACTTCAGCAATAAAGAAAGTACGTAAGATCTAATGAACTGCTATGATAATCAATTAGTTAAGCCTGTAAATTGAAAACTGGATGGAGAAGTCCATTCTGATCTAAATCTGATTTTTTTGATCTTTCAGTAGATCTGTGTCTTACTGTAGCTTGGTAGCTCTTAACTTGAAGCTGTCAACTGTAGCAAGTTGGGAAAGTTCAAAGTCATATGGCAGTATGTTTAAAATCTTGTCTTTCCAGAGGTGAGCCTCCAGAGGAAGAGTAAGGATAACATTATTAACTAAATAGCTGAGAAACTTCCAATTAAACATGATATTCTCTCTCTCGTCTACACTCAAGAGAGTAATATTGAAGGCTGTTTCTAGTGGGAAATTTAAATGAAAGTTCTCTATTGCTTTTGAGTGGATTATTGGATAGTCTTCAAGTACATGCATTTTGCTGTGTCATGGAGATTAACCCTAAATCTGTTCCAGCTGTCACCTGGCATTGATTTCAGTTTGATTTTCAATAGGGTCAGAGGGGGTAAGGCTGGCAAAATGGTCTAATCCTATGTAGTTCATTCAAAAAGTGATACAGATGTTGGATCAATTCTCTTTTTGCCTTAAATCAATTTTATTAAACAAAATTACATTTCTGCTAACATTTCTGATGCTGTTAGCACAAACTGCCACAGGTTATCTTGCAAAAAAAAAAAAAATTGAGCGGAGGTAGGTGTGTGAATGTGGAACCATGCACTAGCTTTGGAAGTTCAATTGCTGTGAAATCCCATAATGTGAAATTTAGGGTGGGAATAATTTGAGGGCAGTTCCTTAGAGGCTCAAATTTCCATTCCTTCTCTGTTGTTTACTGGGGACATTAAATATTGTGATGTGTAATATGCTAATAAAGCATTTCTTTGGCTCTCCCCAGAATCACAGCGCTATGCAGTGTTTTGTTTGTTCAGAATGGGAGCTGAGGTTTTTGATACAGAGGTGGCAATTGTGGATAAAGCAATAACAGATATCTGTTTTGAAAACGTAACCATATTGTGAGTATAACTTATCTGTTGCACGGAGTACAAGTATCCCTGTTTTCTTTTGAAAGTGGGTATGATTATGAATATGATTGGCTGAGGTCCTCTAAATTTTTCTGTGGGCAAGAGGAATCTGTAACATTTCTGTTGAAATGAATTTCAGTGGTTGGTGGATCCCTCTCTCTGGAAGGTTGTGGGTTTTTTTCATGTGCACGATGATCACAGCAGTAGATGCATCATTTAACTGTTGCTTTCAGGTTTTTTTTGCCATGCTGAAACATTTTTCTTTAAATAAAGAGATTAGCTTGTAACTCAAGGACAAAAATACACCAATGCTAAAAACTGGAAGCACTATAAAAATGCACTTCTGTAGGCATGGGTGTTACACTCAGTGTTTTAACCATTGCTCTGTAGAGCAGGCTATGGTCTCTTCTGATGTTCCCCAAAGTCACTGTTCTCTTGAAATCAGACATTTGTCTTCCACACCTCATGTTCTGTTATGCTCTTATGAGCATATGCTACAGCTACAACCCTCATAGTTGAAGAATACTAGACAGGAAATTATTCGCTTATCTTTAAATATAACCTAGAAAAGAATAGAAAGGTGTTCACATATACTTTTCTGTTGCTCTGTAAATTTTTAAGAGTCTTGAGAGACACTTTATTATTTCTGTGAGGGTTGTGTTGGTTGTTTTTTTTATGTGTGTGTGTGTGCTGCTTTGTTTTTTATATTAGCAATTTAGATTCAGTCTCCTGAGGAAGACTGACTGGAAATCTAGAACTACTGAAAACTTTAAATCAAGATCTTAAAAAGTGAGTAGTTGAGAGAGCATGGATCTGTAAATCAAACTTTTTTAACACTTGCTCAAGTTTAGAGTAAGGGCAAGAATTTAAATCTGCTTCTTGAAAGATACATCTGTTCTTGGAGAATTTACCATTACCATTTTCTGTAAAATAATGCAGCAGAAGCACTCAAAATTCCCTCGTGTGCCCACAGATAAAGAATAAATTCTTTAAAAGCCTTTGGGATAATTTCCTTATGAATATGTAGTGAAGGATTTGTACCAGGAAGATGAGGTTAGGCTTCCAGTTTGATGGCTCAGCTCGAGAACGTTGAGAGCTGGTAGAACTGAAAAGAGACAACAGGGAGTGGGCAGAAGAACGCAGCAGCAGATAGATAGATACTGTGAATATCAAATTTGTTGCTTGTGATGAGGTAGGATTTAGTTTTCTCCTAATACAAAGTGGGCGGGTGCGACAGTTCGATCTGATTTGGGATCACAGGCATGATAGGTTTTCAGTCGTGTTATTTCTGCATAACAGTAGAGGGCAGATTGAGGTGTGCTTATATGCCTTGCCTGTGTATTTCCATCACATGAGCGGTGTGGGTTTTTTCTCCAGTTTTTAACCTAAACGTTGAATTTCCTGTTTGCAATTGTTTATGGTTTAATTATAACATCCATCTTGTGACTTCAACGCTAAATTACCACTGTGTACTCTAGCCTTTAACTCCATTTTAATGTATGTCTTTCCCTGAATCTGATGTAATTCCTTCCCTTGATTAGCAATACATGTTATTTAATAAATATATTGTAGCAACAGCATTCCTTGGCTAGGTGCTCAATTCACTAACAACTGCTGTGAAACTTTCTCCCCACTCCCTTCAGTGATGAAGCAGGACCAGATTTCCAGGTGAAGGTTGAAGTGTATAGTTGCTGTACAGAGGAGACTTTATATGTAGCAAACACCCCTAAGAAACTAGTAAAGAAGCTTAAAACATCCCTCAGCAAAGCTACAGGGAAGAAACTCAAAGCTACGCTGGAAGAAGACGGCACTGACTCCATTTTGCTCTCTGACCCAGTCATCCAGTAAGATACTCAGATGGGTATTCTGGTTTTACTGTACTTTTTCATAGAAATAGCCCAAAGACATTGTCAATATTTGGAAAGGTACCAAGAACGCGATTATTTATGTATTAACCAGGTGGAAAAGAATTTACATTTTAAATAGGAAATGAGAAAGTAGGTGTGAATTCCAGCTATGTAGCTCAGCCTGGGGCCCAGTTCTGATCTTTAAACACATGAGTAGACTATCTTTCTTCTACACAGCTGGTAAATCCACTGTTATTTGCAACTCAGGAGTACTTCAGTTTGATCTCTGGAGAAAATCAAGCTTGTGTGATGTCTGTGGCCCTCCATGTCGCCCTTCTCTTCCCCTGTCCCGTTCACTCCATGTATCAATTTTGCACCCAGGCAGTTTTGCTTGTCAGAATGGTAGACATTTCTAAAAGGTGCAGGTTCTGTGCAGTAACAAACGTGTGTGGGCAGGGGAAGCCCCTCGTACAGCACTTCCCCTAGTGAAGCTGACAGGGCTGTTGCGCTGTGTTGTGTACACGGGGGCTGTTCTGTTTTCTGGCTTTTCAGCAAGTCTCTGGGCTGGCTGGGGCATTTTACAATTACTTGCTGCTTAACAGGAGTTTCCTTAATTGACTTCAGCACAGAACATTTTGAAATGACGTACGATTTTCCATTTTCATAGAAATAAATGCTTTTCTCAGTAATTCACCTGTGTTTCCTTTTAAAAATGATCTTAAGTCTTTCATGTATTTTTAATGAAGTGAACTGCCTACTAATATTTCCCAACTACTTTAATTTCATTGTGACTTAAGCAGCCCAAGTACCTAAATTGTAACTACTGCAAAATTGACTTTTTTAATGTTTATTTTTTTTAAGAAAGTAAATATTACTTAAATTACTTCAAATATTGCTTTTTTCTTTCTTTTTTTTTTTTTTCCTGATGGCTCAGTAGCAGAGAATCCACGTATAATTTTTGCCACATTTTGAGGAAAAGTCTTAGTCTTGTTTTGTACATCTGTTTGCCCAGATTATAAAAGGAAAGGTTAATTCATAGTTTATCTATGTTGAGCTAATATTGCTATACGCTAATATTAGTGTTCTGATGAAAAACAGACATCCAAGATGTCTTAGCCACAGAGCAAGGCAGTTTTACTGCTAACATTAGAGTACCTTCCACCTCATGACAGTGTTTCTCAATATGCATCATGTCAGGTAGATATGCTTCCCTCAAGCTCTGGCTGGCTGATGACATGCTGCCATAAGGTGCAGTTGGCTTCACGTATAACCACAGGCTTATTTGTTGGCCGTGCTCACTTGAATACAGATCGTCTGTCTTTTAAGGAAAAAGAATTAGTAGGCAGTCCTCACTACTGCCCCCTCCCTCATTTGGGTTTTGCTTTAGGTTTCTCAACTGTAATTTTTTGTATTTTACTTTCTCCCATCTTGAAAGTAATTTTTTTTTTTCCCTGCCATAAGTCATCATCTCACCGTGGCTGTTAATTTCTTACCAAAATTGAATTACTAGTGATGTGTTTACTAATGGCTTTGCTAGGTGATTAAAAAAGATTATTGGGAGCAAATGTCTTACTACAGGCTGAAAATAAGTTGTCTTTTTTTTTTTTTTTTTAATATAGCCTCCCCTTGAGATTTATACTATTAAGACCATGGTAATGTAGCCCTTAGAGGTGAGCAGATTGCATCTTTCAAGTTCTCAAAGAATTATACGGGTCCAGTCTGTGAAATTAAACCACAGCAATAAAAAGGGAACTTGCTGTATTTTATGAACACTTTTGCTCTGTAGATTTCATCTGTATCAGCTGTTTCCTCTCAGAGCACACGTGGGATGAAGTTGTCCCTTTTCCAGAAATTCTGTGATCCTCCCGTGCCAAATTTCTTAGCTTAGAAGTTAGAAGCCTCCCTGTCAGCCTCGTAACTTCTCATAAAAGCTTGATGACAAACTGTTTTAGATGGTTGCTTTATTTGTTCATATCAGCTATACTGATACTCTGTCTGCTCTTAATTATCTTTTTTCATTTTTTATGCAGTCTTTTGCCTACTTCATTTTTTTTCTGTTATTATTATTATTGCATTTGTCATAGGAGAAGGACATTCAGTGCAGGTATGGTACTGATTTCCAGAAGTTGCACTTTGGAGACGTGCATGTTCTGTGAGCTGGCAGTACTGGCCTATGTGGGGACTTGCTGCTGGGGCCTCTGCTGAGCTGGAGATCTGGCTTCTGTATGCTATGTTTGGAAATTCACATTGATATTTTGCTAGAAGTACGTATTCTAACCTAATGGCCTCGTTTTTATTGCTGGGTTCTTTTTAGGACCTGATGATTATTTTTGTTTTTACCTTTTGTTATATAAGATGCAACTGGAAGCTACGCATATTGGCTGTTTTGACTTGCACAACCTCCACTCTGTGTCTGGATGAGTGGAATGAGATAGGATTTCTAACATTAATATTCAGGAACAGCTTCTGGAATCTGAGCTGTATGAATCCAATATGCATTGATAGGAGGGGTGAGATAGTTACATTCCCCCCAGTGTCTGCACTCCAACGTCAGTGCTCCTGCCACTCGATGGGCGACAGGTCGAACTGTGGGCCTTCCCCACGCTGTATGAGATGCAGTGGGCAGATTGTTCTTTGTTATTCAGACAAGCTGCCATGTAAGGCAGCCAGCTAATTCTGTCACATGAACAGGCAAAACATACTCAGTAATCCTGATCAGCTTGTTAAATATAAAATATAGATGCAGATAACTTTTCTAAATTATATTGAAGTTGGCTAAAAGGGATGACTGTTCTGTTTTAGAAAGAAAGTATTACTGGGAAGCATATTTTAAAAGTGAAGTAGCTGTTTTCTTGGCAAGGTTGTTGTGGTAATTAGTCATGCTTTAGAAAAATAACTAAATCAGCACAGAAGTTTTATCCGTGAGAAGAAACTGAACTACTTTGTACCATTTAAATAGAGTGGTAATGCTTAACTGAATAGCAAAACATAATCAGCAGGGAATCTTTTGTTAGGGAATGGTCTACAGGGAATATATACAAATGTTGATGAGTTTTTGTTCACATTCCCCTCTGAATGTTTTATAGAAGTGGTTCTTTGCCCAAAGTGCTATATCATATTTGCTTTTCTATTTATTGCTTTGAATTAGATGTGTAACAGACCTCCCTGCTAATCTTCTGTCTCCTCTCTTTCATTAGGGTCAGAGCTGGATAGCATCTGATTTTAAAACTGTGTGCCCTCTGCTGTTAGAAAAATTAACACTGGAAAGTATTAGTATTTATTTTCTAGTGATGTCAGTTGAGTAGTGTCTTAACATCTTCTATACCACTAAGATATCTTATGCTATACAGAAGGTTTTTAAAGGATTTTATGCTCAATTCTGTTAGAGAAAGCAATTAGTGATTCTAAGTGTTTGTTTTCGTGTGAACTTTTTTTACACTGCCATTAGCCAGGTGGAATTCTTACTGCATTGCTAGACTGTAAATCTGTTACTTTGTATTAAGAGTATTTGGGGAAAAAGGTTAAACATGTACCACGTTTATACTAGTTTATTCCAAGAGCTGCATTCCACATGCACTGTGCTGAATTGCAAATGTGATTTTTTTTTTTTTTCCCCAGCTTTTTTTCCCCCCTAGGCAAAGTCTAAACCAAAGATACAACGCTGTGATACCTGTAAGCACAATAAGTGAAAGAGTCCTTTGTGCCGCAAAACTGGCTGTAGGATTTCTACAGATTTCTTCTGCTATACGCAAAGAAACAAACTATTGGATACTATTCTGTATAAGTGTGTGCATAACCACTTCTATGAAGTCTACAGCCAAAGCAAAAGAGCAGAGCAGCCTGGAAACGCAGTATAGATTTTAATTGTGAAACTTGTGTTTTCGGAGCAAGTTCATCACCTGTTTCTCTGTTGCCTATAGGATACATTTTTGCACTCATTTCTGAGTTAGGCCTAGGGTCAAAAGCTGCAAACCTATCAGAAGTTCCTTGGTGTCTGAGTAGAGAAGAGAGATGCTGTTAGTGTCCTTGGGCTGCAGGAGGCTTGGAAAGCACAGGCCTTGTGTCTGGGGTTGCCAGTGCAGACAGGCAGCTGGAGGCACTGCGCTGATGGGGCTCTGTGGCATTGGCCTGGAAGTCACGGGGTGGGAGGAACCGGAGGTGCTGTGCGGGGCAGAGGCAGGAGGTGAGGATGTGGCCATCAGCTGAGCATGCTGGGGAGCAGTTCTGTGGGAAGGGGCTGGGGGTGGCAGCCTGTGGCCACGGACAGCTGCTGCCTTGCATCTCGGCATGTCCCTGTAAGCAGATGTGTTATCTCGGGCATCCATAGGCTCCCTCTAGTTACTGTCCATACAATACAAAGCAGAAATGACTTAAAACGTGCCCTTTTTTTCCCACATTTAGTGGAGCAAAGTACAGTTTACTAGCATATACCACTTTGGGGCTGGAGAGTGCCAAGGACAGTTTCAGGACCCACAACCTTACCATTACAGGAAATGGTAAGTACATATGGTAGCAATTTAAGGAAATAAAAACCCAGTAATATTTTGCATTTCTCTTGTAAACTAAAGAGTTTAAAGAGATTATTTTTCTTGATACTTAATATAGAACAACTTAAACAAAATATTTAACTGTTCTAAAACAAGCATCTATACACAGCTGAGTAAACTATAAGTTGAGTACAATTTCAAGTCCAGAGGAAAATTTAATTCATTTGGGAGTTTCTTCTGTTATTTGCATCTTGATCTTAAGTGAGTTGTACCCATGTATACAAACTATTTCCCCCTTTCTCACAACTAAGGGAGGGTATTGGAGCGAAGAACAGCTTTTTCCTCTGTAGTCGAAACAAAAGTGTATTTAAAAAAAAGCAACTTAATTTGAGCAGGACACAGGACAAAAACGTGCACTTGCGATTTGCCTTGATAGCTGTATTTCAGCTGTGCGACACACAGGTTGCTGGTAGCAGTCAACCAGGATGCCAGCTTGGTGACTATGCTGCAACTGTAGGTGATATTTCAAGAAACTGAAGTACAGTTCTTTGTACTTCATCCGTGTTCCCAAAACTATCGTCCTTCCTGCAATCCACCCTTCAGTCCTCCTCGTTAAATTAAGATGTGCAACTTTGTATTTCACTCATTTCTGGTAACTTCATTTTTTCACATGGGTAAACTTGACCTGAAAAGAAAATTTGATTATTTACACTACATTATTCTGAATAAGCACAGACAGAGCATTTGTTTCTCAACAGGTTAGAATAATTCTGTGTATCTTTGATGCAAATTTCTACTTCACATTCTTGTTTTATTTCATTAATGTGCATAACTCACTCTGGTGAGGAATTACATATCTGGATATTTTGTTTCATTACAAGCATTTCTAAACCACGACTAAAGACAGAGTAATGTCAATGGAAAGTTGCATTACCTGCTTCTAATTACAGAAGAGCATGTTTTTTACATGGCGAAGCTGAGCAGTTTTTTGCTAATTCCTTGGAATCATGAATGCTTTTCTAGTTGCATGACAAGACAGCTACAAATTCTGTCTTAAAAACCAATCTGAAGCAAAATGCTTACATGTAAGAAGTCACGTGCCGTGATGGGAAGCGCTTAGGAATCCTACTTAGATGAAGTACCAAAGTGATTATCTTCCAAAGTGGTGTAGAGGTGTTGGTGTTGTTTTTGTAAGAATAACTTGTTCTTGCAGAACAGTATTTCTGTTTTTATTTAAATCCTTTTAGAACTTCTGATAATTTTTAATAAAAAACTTACTGAAGACTAAGAATCAGTTTTACTTTAATCCTACAGGATGAGATCTCTTTTCTTACATGTAAAGAATGCTTACTCATATTCATGATCTGAAAGTAAAGATGAGTATTAAAAGCTAAGCTGTATTTACGGGAAGTATTCAGAACTCTGAATACTGAATACTCTTTTTTTTTTTTTTTTTTTTTTTTTTACCTCTTTCTTTCTTTCTTGTTTTTTCTTTTTTCTCCTGTCTGCTCCTTTCCCCCAGAGGAATCTTCTTTTTGGCTCCCCCTGTATGGAAACATGTGCTGCCGTTTAGTTGCTCAGCCTTCCTGCATGGCTAGAGATATGATGACAGGATTTCTGAATCAACAGGTAAAAAAAGGTCTTGCTTGTGTTTCCATGCTCTTCTGGTAGCAGTCACCAACAGTCCACGGTTAAAACATTTCTGGTTTTCCCAGAGTGGTTCCTTCTTCCCTGTTCTGCCTAGAGCGAGGGAGGACATCTCATAGTTACAGTTTATAAACAGCATCGTCAGTGGCTAAGAATCAATAAATCAATGTTTTCTTGGTGTGCTTATCAATAAAACCATTTGGGCTGCTAGATACAGGTTGAGTTGTTCCAGAATCTGTTTAGCCTGGCACTTAATAGCAGCAGTCCTAACGGTCTCTTGGCTTTTACCCCCATACGTGTCACTCACTGTCTTAGCATGGTGAACTGAGCGGGGAGCAGCAGTTAAACTCATCCCTCCAAAAGCAATTACTGTGAGCTCACTTTACTTCTCTGTTCTGATTCATTGCACAACTAGGCAAACAAGAAGGTGTGAGCAGAGGGCTGAAGGCCACCAGACAGGAGTGCCACGTTGTAGGCTCTGGTCTCATCATGAAATTAAAATGTATTTATGAATGCTGTTCAGAAAATTATTTTAAGAACATCTTTGAACGTACCACACGCTTCCAATGTTAAATACTCTTTTTATTTCTTCTGTTGTTTAATTAACGTAGCAAATAAAGGTGGGCTTTGTCCTTATTGTAGACACATTGTTCTACGCTTTGTTCTGTGTGAAACGGCAGATTCTGTGTTGGGTCATAAGTGAATCTGGGAAAACTGTAAAATGCCAAAAGACATTTAGAAGTATTGGTAGCATTTCAAAAAGCACTGATTCTGAAGTGTTCTGCAACAGAAGGTCTTTCTTTTAGGAAAGAATTGATTCAGCGTGGAGAAGTTTTGATCACGCGGGCTGATTGGTGTATACCTCACAGTGTGCTCTTAATTTGTAGTTTGTGTCTGGCAATTTCTGACTACTTCTTCCCTTTAGCAAATGATAGGAAATCTAACCAGCTGGAGGAGGCTGTATTGCGTACTGAGAGGTGGAAAGCTCTCTTGCTATCACTCACCAGAAGAAATTGAGGCTAAAGTGGAGCCAGCCCTGAGAGTTTCGATCAATAAGGTAAAAATGATAATGTGTAGCTTTTTCTGCTTGCTTGTGTTTTGGTGTTTGTTTTTGCTCTTAATTATTATTCCGAGGGAGGTTATTTCTGTTTTAAGATGCATACGTTTGGGCTCCAAGCTGCTTGTATGCAAAAAGCTCTGTAGGTAGTGTGTCAGTGGGAAATGCTGCAGCAAAATTTCCAGTCACTGAAATTTCTTTGCAAGGGTGTTACATTTCTTAGCAGCAGATGTAAGTTTCTTCTGTTGCACTAAACTGGTTAACATACAGGTAAAAAGGATGTTGTTTTCTTTAGGAAAAATGTGACTTGTTATATGACTGTTCCGTTCCCCGCAGTCCTTCAGCAACATTCTGGGAGGCTTTTGTCCTCAGCAAGGTGAAATTTTAACAAAAGCTTTTTGTTGTTTTATTTTATTCTGCCCCAGTCTTAATTAGAGGGAGGATTGGAAAATTGCTCAAAATATTTTAGTGTCTTAAAATAAGCTGCTTTTCTTAATACTGGTTTTGTACAGGGCACATAACTTTGGAAGTTCTGTTCTCTATGATGGTATTACTTCTGTTTTTCATAGTCTAATAGGCAAAGTCTGGATTTAAACCTTTACATCAAAATTCTTCTACTTGACTAAAGATGCATTAAGTATTTAATTTTAAACAACTATTTATGTGTTCACTTTATGGATGTTATTGGAAGGACCTTCTAGAATGAAGAGCATTAGAGTGAACAGGTGCTTTTAAAAGCTGTTTCTGTGCAGTCATCAAGAGTTAGTGTCACATAAGGATGAGCAGAGGAATTTAATGTTGTTTGCAGTTGGCCTAGCTGGGTTCATCTTTCCTAAGCAGAAACATTTGGAAACTGTTAAGCATGGGTTGGTCTGGATTCTGGTGTTGCACTTCTGTGGCTGCTTGATGCCAGCACTGGCTCGAAAAGAAGCATTCCCCCCAGCCAGTCGCTTCCTCTGGCCGCTGTGTGCTTCATGCTGGGCAGGCAGTAGGGCAGCTGACTGATAAGCTGGACTAGGGAACTGAAGTGAGTTAAAATTAGCTTATCTTGGGGGGAGGAGGACGGCTGGCTTCAACCGTGCTTCTCCTTAACGCAGTCTTTTATCTAGATCCCTACATGATCACATGAGTGCTCGTATGGTACAAGGAAGGAGCTAGGGCGAGACTGGTGCTGTATAGGGCCATGAAGTAACAAAGAACTGCTTCTGACAACAGCACTATCAGCTCTTGTTGGCTTTAAAGTTTCTCAAAAATATGATTCATTTTCACCTTGAGTAATTCTTCTTGTATATAAACAAAACATTTAAGCTAGAGATAACAAGGTAACCTGCTTTCGTGCGCTAACACTTCACGTGCTAAGATTTAAATTGATACCTAATTAAAAACACACTTCTCCCAGTGTCTTGTATTCTAACAAAGCCATTTTTTTTCTTCCAGTTTACTTATTTACTTGTAAAAAAATGTTTTGACATGATACATACTTAAACAATTTTAGTTGTACACCTCTTCCGTCACTTCTAATTGCGTCAACTGAACTTCAATGAAACTGTATTTTCCAGTTGTTCACAATATCTGTGGGGAAATGGCCAGGTTCAGTGAAACACGGAGTGACCACATCCGTATTTTAAAATGTGAAGGAAGTATTTTTGAAAATTGTCTGTCAGAATCTCTGTCTGTTCTTTCCTTAGGGGTTGCTGTTTTGGTCTGTATCCTTACTTTGCTTCTCCTTTTCAAATAACCATGTTCTCCTAAGGGGTTTTACTTCTCTGAGTTACCAGCACACTTAGAATCTAAAATCCAGCTTTTAATGGGAGTCTGTCTGTATGTTGGCAGTTTACCTTTACAGGTAACGTACACAATGTACATAAATCATGTGTATTACACCATTTTGCCAAAGTACCAAGCTGTTGGAAAATACGACCATGAATCCTTCTTTAATTCAAATTAAAGCCAGAAAGAAAACAAAGCAATTTAAAACATATTTGAATACTTTACTATTTAAACAGTTTCTCTTGAAAATAATGTAACGGCTGTGGATTTTCTGATTCGTTTGTTGTGAAACTTGTGACATAAATGAAAATGAGCTAATCATATGGGCTTACTGCTACGTGTTGTTACTGAAACAGCAACTTCAAAATCAAAGTTGAGACTGAAAATTAACTCTAGATGTTCTAACTAAAATCTCTTCTGGTTGCATCTGGTATTGTTACTTGTAATGTGAAGCTGATCCTCTCCATGTAATTGAAAGAGACTTTCTGGAAAGTAATCAAGTCATATGGATTTATGAGGAACTCTGGAAAATAATCATACTGATAGTCTTATTTCCCTTTCCTTTGAATTGAGACTTGAAGAAGCTATGAAGACCACCAGAGTCATTACTTTAACTTCAAATGCCTTCACTGCTACCACTGTTGAGCAATAATAGTTCTGCAGTTCCTATTATGCAAGTGTTACTATTATTGTTCCAGCTAAGTGTGATTATAACATATTATATTGCACAACTAAGTAGAGAAATTGTGTTTTCTCGAGCAAAGAAAATTAGCTGGAATCCAACTTGAACAAGGAATATTCCTAATGGACCAATTCCTAATATTTTCTTTCTGTTTCTTTGTTTGCTTTGCTTTGAAGTGAATGATAAAGGCTTTGCCTACACCTGGTAACTGGTGTATGTGCCAGCACTTCACACTTATTGCTCAGTATCCTGAATACATACATACCCTATTGTATCCTCTTCTAAATTATAGAACTTTCTCTGTGCACTGCATGCGGGAAGCTTCAGGAATTCTGGGACGTGGCTTCTGGTTAACACAGAACATAGCTGACATGATTTCCTTCCTGGCGAATTTTGCCAGCACGATCTTTGGTCTGGTGCCATGCGGCGCAGCAGGCGCAGAGCTATCGCTGTGCTGGTACTCGCTGTGGTGGCAAGCAGGATGAGGAACAAATGTCTGCAGCCTTCAGTTGCTAAGTTCTTGTTGGAACATGTTTTGGGCTCTAGGTCAGGTAGAGAAATTCACTGGAAAATGTAGCGATGGCTCCGGCAGCATAACTTCACAGGGGATCTTGCAGTATTTTTGGGAAACTGGGAAGTTTATCTTGGGACTGGAACAGAGGGTATCAAGTTCATGGCAATGTGAACACTTCGGGAACACGCAATGCAAGCAATACTCACTACCTCTGTCAGGCAACTCCAGCACTGGTGAAGCAAGAGCAGACCTGAAAATCAGTGCTCTGTGTAGTGTACTTACGTCCCACTGGCTGGTTTAGATGAGCCTTCACAGGTGAAAATTTATAGGGAAATCAAAAATTAGTTAAATGTCTCCAGATATCTGGCATCTTCTGTCATGTTGCTCAACTTGCTTCTGCAATTGCTTGAAAAAGATGGTGGGTGCGGGTAGGGAAAGCAGACAGTGCCTGCATAGAACACGTGGACCTTGTAACACATGCTCAAATGGAGTCACTAGGAAGCTATGCTTTATAGCTCCCTGGTGCTCCTCAGAGTGCTGGTTGGTCATACAGTAACATCACCTCCTTATCCTGCCTTTAAGTTGCTGCACTGAATTGAAGACAGCCATGATGACGCAGTGATCCTAACGTTACTCTTCCATATTATGCTTATCATCCTGCAAGCGTGTGAATGTTATGGTGATACAAGCTCACAAAACAATGGAGATGAAAGGAGGAAATGTAGCTAACATGGTAGATTCAGACTTGCACTAATATTTTAAAAAGCCATAGTTTTACATTCATCAAACACTCCTGTTTGCCTTAAAACAATTTACAGCAGGAGCCAACAATTGTATTTTGTTTCCAATGTTGCTTTTATTTCTTGCCTTGTTTCTTGGTACTAAAATCACAAAGGAAGACTGTTATATGCAATTTGGTTTGTTTCATCTTAGAACAGATACACAGAACTGAATTTTTGACTTCTCAATATTTTTCTCAAGAACTGCAATTTGTCTTAAAATGATCTTTACAAACTCTGCTCCTCAGTGCTTCAGAACTGGCTCAGCAGTAAGGGGCTGCCTCAGCAATAAAACGCTTCTCTCTTTTTTTGTTTTTGTTTAACTCTGCTTAGTAGATGAGCTTTCCAGATGAGCTCATCAGGCAAAACCTTTTTTGATTTGAAGGAGAAAGATATTGTACAATCAATGAATGTACAAATGTCATGGGACGTACCGGAGAGCTTGGCTACACAGTTGTCACACCAAAGCAGAAAAGACCGGATGCTTACCCGTATCCTGGGCTCACTTATGAAACTTCAGCAGAGTGGATCTCCAGAAGAGATCCTTCCCCGCTGGCAGTCAGCTCTTAAATAGGTCTAGGAGAGGTGCAGCCAGGCTCCACCCCTTCTGGCAGCTCAGGTGAATTGCCTTCACTGTGCTCCCATGGCTGACTCACGGCTCGCCTCAGGTGATCATCAGAGGTTCAGGCCGTGACTCAGCAGTTCCCGTACAGATGTGTAAGTGAAGACTCATATTTACCTTATGCTAAAAGAAAAAAGTCATTTTCCTTATCTTCAAAGAAAATTAATCTTTTGCACATAGTCAGGATGTACAACTGCCCTCAGCCTCTCTGAAGTTTCTGAGTTTCCTCTGGGCTCAGCTCAGTTTTTCTTACTCCAACTGGCTGGTTGTTCCGGGCTTTACAGGAGTGGTAATGGAATTGGTTCTGCTGTCTGTGAGATCGAGGAACGCGGAGCAGTGCTATGGATAACATGATACTTTAAGGCAGTTCACTTTTTTATTTTTAAGAAGAAGTGGGCTTGTGGTGTAATTTACCCAAGCTTGGCATATTCATCAGCCCATTACTGTAATGGCACCTCGTATCACTCTTTAAATATTCAAACATCAGGTATAGATTGTTGCTTGAGGATTTATCTCCTTTGAATAATAACGCAGTTATGGGATAAAACCTGGAGCAAACATCATTAAATAAACTTGTGTGTATGGTATGCTTGAAGTTCTTACCTGTCAAACGTTAATCTATTTGATTTAATTTTTTGCTGGTATCTATGGTTACCTGAGTTAATGGGACATAGAGCACTTATGGATGAATTACTTCATCTCCTATTTTTAGACAGAAGAATTTAAATGAGCATATCCATCAGATATGCTACAAGCAGCTGTTATGATTTCAAACAGTTACTGAAGTAATGCAGTGAAAATCTGGGGAATATTCTTGAGAATAACTTTTGTTTTCTGACGATCAGAACTAGACCTATCCCCATGGGTTCTCACATGTAAACTTAATTTCTATTGGTTTCTATTTGACATCTGCAGTGCAAGTCTGACATCTGGTTGAACGCTGCTGTAGTAGGGAAAGTGGCTGATCTGTCCCCACTGTATTTTAAGGTGTGTCCTCAGTCTACTCGGACATTAGATTTGCTGCCCACCCAGCTGCTGAACACAGTGCTGGCTTTAGCTATCAGCTTCCTTCCAAATGCAGAGTGCTCCCCAAGCCAGGGGACACCCCTGCATGGCACAAGGCCTCTGCATGTTCTCAGTGCGTGTTAGGCAGCTCCCTTTCCTTCCAGGCTCCAGCGCTGGCCAGTAAGGTGCTGCCTGGTTCCTTGGTGCAGGAACTCATCACCCCGTCGAGATTTGGGCCGAGGCTGGGCTGCTCTCCTGGATGTGCGAGTGTTGTAACAGGACTTTGCTTGCTTGGCCAGGCGGAAGTGTATGTGCAGAGATGTTGCGGGCGTTCTGCTTCTGTTTTTGTAAACAAAGTGGTGTTAATTACTCATTTGTTCACCGTGTTGTTGCAAACAGCAGTGTTGATCAGTTATTTTCTGGAAAAAACTTCTGTTGTGTTTTGTGAGACTTCTAAAATTTTTCAGTGTCTTACACATGAAACCTATGTTTTTTTTTCACTCAATGACAAGTGCTACTTTTTATGGTAGTAAAGGCATAACAAAGAAACCAGATGCAGTTTTATTTTTGTAGTACGTAGTCTGGCTGATAAAATCAGTTGAACTATGTCCCTGAACAGAGGGGATAACCTTGGCTGTAACAGCACTGCTGCATATTTCTGATATTAGTTGAACGTTTGAAGTAACGATTCATTAGTTCTGAATGATTTATGCTGCATTTGTCATTGTTTTTAATTATTTATATTGCCCTAAATAAGGCAAAACTAAATTCTGAAACGACAAATGTTTGGCATTACAGCAAAACTTTTTTTCATGTTGGAAATGGTTTTAAGTTGAGAGAGGGAAGATCTAGGTTGGATGTAAGGGGAAATTCTTTACAGAGAGAGTGGTGAGGTGCTGGAACAGGCTGCCCAGAGAGGTTGTGGATGCCCCGTCCTTAGAGGTGTTCAAGGCCAGGCTGAATGGGGCCCTGGGCAGCCTGGTGTACATTAAGTGGGGAGGTTTGTGGCCCTGCATGTAGCAGGGGGGTTGGAGGTTCATGATCCTGGAGGTCCCTTCCAACCTTGGCCATTTTGTGAAACTTGTTGAGTGGAACTGTATGAATAGCTTAAAATGATAGAGGCCTTTCCCAACCTTAATGATTCTAAGATCGAGTCCAACCATGAGCCCATCTCCACCACGTCCCCAAGTGCCACCTCCACAAGTTTCTTGAACACCTTCAGGGCTGGTGAGCCTACTGCCTCTCTGGGCAGCCTGTGCCAATACTGCATCACTCTTTCTGAGAAGATATTTTTCCTCATATCCAACATGAACCTCCCCTGGTGCAACTTACGGCCATCCTGAACTTTCTTAGCACTCTTGACAACTTCTACAAATGCTCCTTTAAATGGAGACATGATGAGTATCTGAATAAATTTCCTTTTGCAGTTGCCTTTGCCCTGAATGTCCTGAGTCACTGAAATTCAAGTAAAATACATACATTCAATAAGAATAAAAAATTGCAAGATGTGTAGTAGGAGACCTAACTGTGAAAAAGTGATTGTCCAGATGAAGATTTTGGAGAAAAAGAGCTTGCTTGCTATTGTTCTATGTTTTTCACCCAACAACTGTGAAAAGTGATGCATGAGAACAGCTGGTGAAAGTACTGGGAGGGGAATCACAGAATGTACATTCTGTAATTACAATAATTCTGTTCCATTCTTTTTTTTCATATATTGTATCATTTAAATTGTTGTGCGAGAAAATACTTTTATAAGCGATTCCTGACCTTAGTTCCTTTTTCCCTTTTTTTTTTTAAATTGGAGATTAATCTGAATTAGGTAGGAAGGCCAAATTATACTCCCATTATGCTGTCACTGGCCATAGTCTTGTAGGTGTTGAGCTGAGGCAATAACTCATTACCACAGTTTGTCATTTTTAGGAAACCAGAATTCAATCTGTGGATAAAGACTCCAAAAGAAGAACCAATAGCTTTTCTGTTATCACCCCCCTGCCTGGAGAGGCTGCAACGCAACTTTTTGCTACTGACAGTAGGGAAGAGCTTCAGAAGTGGATGGAGGCTTTCTGGCAGCACTTCTATGATCTGAGTAAGTAAGCAAGCAGTGCTAGCATTGCGCCCTTCCTGAAGGATGTTATGTAACATCAAAGGAATCTTTGAACAATTTCAATCACAATTGCCTCATAATCCTTTGTTTGCAACGATGCGAAGAAAAATGTCCTTTGGAATAGTATTAGGTGGTGGTCATAGCTATTGGGAGACAAATATCCGCACGTTCAGTCTGGCTTTTTGCAGGAAACAAGAAATAACTGTGTCCACAAATCCAAAGTAACTTGACCTCTTTTAGCAGCATTCTAGATGATTTTTAAAGGACTAATAAACTCTCACTATCTCTTCCTCCACTTAGCTGAGTGGGGCTCCTTCTGCCTGCACACCCTTATCAGGTTTGTTGGTTTTGTGAGATTCTGCAAGACTGAAACCTTTGGGCCTGGAAGCCTTAATGGGAAATAGTGAAGATGCAGGATCCATCTGGGGCCTTGGCAAGGATTCAGCTTCAGCCAGTCCTTGCGAGTAGAAACATGTATATTCCTTACCCAGCAGTATTATGTATTAATTAAGTTGCAGTTTGCTGTGTTAAGGATTGATTTTGCTGGTAATTCTCAGGTTTTGGTATGGTACCCCTTGCCACAAGGGCATTTGCTCACGTAGCCACAGTCCCATCCATTCATGCAAACACACACTGCCTGCTGGAAACTGGTGACAGCTCTAACATGATGCAAGTGAGGTAAATTGATACCCTGAATTTTTTATTTTCCATGTTAAAATGTTTGAAGATCTTCAGTTTAGTTTGGGCTTTACTTTCTCCAGTAAGCTGTCTTAATGACCTTGGTAACCTCTGTAATAAAGCTGTTCTTACAGCAAGAAACGAGTTTCTTCTCGTATAAGACAGCAAAATGGTTTTCAGGTAGCATACCATGGTTCTTGTTTAACACCATGTATTAACTATAGAAACTATACAGACTAATTTGTCTTCATCTTTTTCCTCTGCTTTAGTAGTTGACTCATAGGTTTACTAGGAGCAGAGAACAGCTGACAGTTATTATGCTGTCACTGACAAAATACAGTTGAATCCTGACAGTCACTTTCACCAGGGCAGAAAACAGAACCAGCTCAATTGATGAAATGCCAGTGTTTAATCAGAGGCCACACCGAACAAATCAGTGAACAGAGGTTTTCTTATGTGGGTGTTGTAGTTTGTAGTTCTACTCCTTTTTCTCTGAGCTACAAGAAGAGGTTTTATCAATTACAGAAAACACCAAGCAAAAACTAGGGCATCTTCTTTAAATTAGCTGTGGAGTGGGGTAAAAGAACTACTACTTATTCATTATAGATAGAATACCCATAGATTTTTTTAAAGACATTTTCCTTAGGTACAGAAAAAATGGGTCACTTACCATTTAAATGCCTTTTTTTTTTTTTCTTCAGTGGTTCTAAAAAATCTCTTAAAACTAATGTGCTTGGAAAACTTGGAATGATTGGTATGAACAAAGTAATTTTACTGTGCCTTGTTTTCCTTAAGGTCAAAATCTATTAATAGTAAAAGAGATTTCCTTGTCTGCTGGCAGATAAAAGGCGAGTTACCCTTTATGAAAGACAAAACTGTTCCTTTACTATAGTGGTTGTGTAACACCCAGCTTGCAGTATGTTGATAAGTTATGATTTTTTTTCTGGTGAATTTATACTGGGTTGGGGGTTTGAAGGCAAATTATGATATTTAATCATTATGGTATAACAGTACTGTTGGGATGCTTCAATTAAAGGTGGTAGCTCATAACTTCTGTGCTAAAAGTCGTAATTAATTAAAAGTTGAAAATACTGAAAATGCATCTTGAGCATTCCTGCTAAGTAAAAGTAGATGCTTACTGTTTGGTATTGCTTTGGAGATGGGTTGTGTTAGGAAACTAATGACTTCGGTTTTTTCAGGCTGAAGTTCCAATCACTGTTCTCTTTTCTCTCTCAGGCCAGTGGAAACATTGCTGTGAAGAACTTATGAAAATTGAGATTATGTCACCACGGAAACCACCTTTGTTCCTGACTAAAGAAGCGACCTCTGTCTACCATGATATGAGTGAGTGGGATTTGTCTTTTCAAGTTGCAGGGTAACAGAAACAACATTGTCTGCATTGAGATGGCTTCTGGTGTTGATGTTGAAACGCTGGGTTTTTCAAGGGCAATTGAGACAATGAAAGAGCAACATAATTGCATACCAAGGAGTTCATGTTAAATCTGAATTTGTAATTGCACCATTTTATTTATTTATTTATTTATTTAACCTTGAACCAGAAAATCTGTGATCTGAACTGTAAATAGGGAGACCTGAACACGAGAAACAAAGCCACCACTAGAAATAAATGCTCACTGTGGGAGTAGTATAAAGCACAAGGAATGTAAAGGCAAAATGGTCTCATCTAAAAAATTAAAATTATTTAAAAATTAAAAAATGAAATAAAAATTAATTTGCTCTTCTTAACACTACTTTAAGGCTTACCTAACTTAACTTACCTACTATTTTTTCTTAATAACGTTGAAAAATATGCTCAGAAAATACCTGGATTGTATGTAAGACTTAGTTTTGCAGAGCAAAATAGTTTGCAACAGGATTATTTTAATAGTTTCATTACAGAAATAATATTTACTGACTAGAAAAAGTAGGTCACTGTTTTAATGGATCTAATGCAGTAATGGCTGAAAAACACTGTGCGGCTATAAATGCCTGACTGCTTGCTGCTTGAGATTGGAATTGTGAAGATGCTCAAAATGCCGTGTGGGTCATCGAGCTCCTGTGCATCAGAGCAGCCAGCAGTCACAATACTACCTCAGCTGTGAACGCAGAGCGGGAAGGCAGTAAATCAACTATACAGAAGTTCCATGAAGGTAATGCTGTAGTATAATTCTGCTGATGCTCAAATATATCGGTGTGGAGCAGAACACAAACTCTGCTTCATTCTTAATATACCAGTGTTTTTCTGCTTATTGACAGTATTCATAGGTAAAATCCTGTGTTTAAAATTGTGTTTAAAATCCTTAACGTGCGACCTGAAATAGAAAAGATATTGCTTCTGTTTTAAAGGCTAGCATTATTGTGGTCTACCTAGAAAATTCAATATGAGAGATCAGAAATGGGGCAAGAGTCTTAAAGCACATAGAGAAAAATGGTATATGTAAAGACGTTCAATTTTCTGCAGGCTGGAGGCACAGGAATATTTAGTCATACATTTTTCCATGCACCTTGTGTAAAATGAAAATTTCAAAGTGCTGTACAGCAAAATATATCTATTATGAAGATTGTGTCTCTGTGTGTGTGCATATATATGTATGTATGTCTATATATATATTTGTAATTTTTTTTCAGCTTTTGCTTGGAAAGAAGGATCAATTCCTACTCTGTTCTCTCAACACCAGCTGTCATGAAAACAGTTCTCTCCTGTCCCCCAGCTTTCTCTTATGAAAGCATATGTAATCTTTTCCATTTCTTCCATTAATACGCTTAATAGCAGTCCAGGTTTCATGAGACATGGTTAATACAGTTTTGTATTCTGAACAGTAATAAAATAGAGAGGAGTAAAGTCATGGGTAGCATTTTAATCTGAGTTAATTGCTGTCCCTTAAAATTACAGGCATTGATTCTCCAGTGAAACATGAGGGCTTAGCTGATATCACACAAAGAAAAATTGAAGAGAGTGATGGTGAGTTCCTGCTTTGCCAGCAAAAAGAGCCTGCGTCTTCCTTCTGGGCTTCACTCTTTGATGGATCTCACGAGATGGTTGTTCAGAAAAATATGCATACTGCAAGTCCTAATGATGGCAGAGGGAAGAAAAGAAGAGCTCCACCTCCACCCTCTGATAAACCAGCGTACAATGCAAAAGCACGTGGGAACGCAGAGGAACGGGACAAGGAGAACTGGGAGAGGCCTGATGGCACATCTTGCAGTTCTTTAGATTCAGTGTTATCTATGGAAACACAACAGTTGCAGGCACCCGCTGCTGCTCCTCGCAGAATCTGTCCTTGTAGGAAAAACAGTTTGGCTGACCATAGGAATCCTGTGTCTTTGGTTACTAAAACAGAGTCTGAAACCAAACCGGTACCAACCCCTAGACAGAAATGCATCACACAAGTGCTAGACCCTAGGTCACGGTTACAGCCACAGACTTAATTACTGGCTTAGAAAATTCCCTGGAATTTTAAGTTCTTCAGCCTTATACTGCAACTTCTGAGTGAAAATTAGTATTGGCATATAGTTTCTAAATACTGAGGCTAAAGCCTTGTTGCTTGGTTGCTTTGTTGTTCTGTTTCTCTGTTTTTGGTCTTTTATCTAGAACACTACTACTAGCTGCATTATTCATTTACTTGTTATTGCTAACATCTGAATAATTACACAAATAATGGGGAAGGGTTTATCTCTATCTCAAATAATGATGCTATTTTTGAAACAGTGTTTCAGTACTTTTCCCTTGAAAAACTGTCAGTATTCAGGGTATCTCAGTGTCTGTGCTGCAGGGATTTTACTGTGGGCATTTCCCAGTCCCTCTGCTTATCCCGTCTGCAGCTCCTTAAACTGATTCAACAGGGAATTTCAGATATTCAACACCAGTCTCCCAGAACTGATTTTCCTGTGCTTCGTGCTTGGTTTCACCTGAAATATTCCCATATCTCCCTCAATGTTTAAGAACTGCTGCTTGTAAGATAATGTGCTGTGAACAGTTACTGCACACTTCTGAATGGCTCTGGATGAGTTTCTGAAGCAGTGCTACCCATTTAACGGGATCTCTGTGGTCCTCTGTGCTGCGTGCACGTCTGAATGGACTGCGCCTGTCTGCGTACGAGCAAGAATGGAATCCATCAGTATGGTTTACTTTGGACTAACACAAACACGTCAAAGCAGTACTGCCTACGAATACCTATTTGGGATTTTTTTTTTTAATCTTTTTTTTTGATGAATGAGGCTTTGTAGCATCACTCCTCCTTCACGGAACTTCTCAGCTGTTCCTTGTAGATAGCTTTTTGTAAAGGTGACGGCATTACTGGTAAACAAATAGGTTTTTTATTTCCCCACTCATTTTTAAAAAAGAGAACAAATTCTTCAGTTGAAAATATTGAACTCTGATGTTCTTTCGTCACCATTCGCCATTTTTATAAGAAGTGTGGGTTATTATGGTTCCTGTGGCACCTGCAAAAAATCTATTTATGCAGAAAAGATTCCTTTTTCCTGGATCCACAGCTTAAATATCCAGCCCTTTCCTTGCCTGATGCGTTTCTCTCAGAAGCTGGAACTCAGCCAGGAGCAAAGGTCTGCTTGCAGATTTTCCTCTAGAGCCTTAGTATTCAGACTTGTGTTGAGTCATATCAGCAACTGTATACATACACTTCATTTTTTTTTTTTTTTTTTGAAAGTACAGATGGCTTTGGGAGCTTTACCATTTCTCTGGAAGGTATTGTGTGCGTGGTTGGTTAGTTTGTTTATCTATTTTTTGTCTTTTGCTAAGCTCTTGCTATACAGTTGTAAAGGTATCTGCTGCATTTCCTCAGTAGTTCATTGGCTGTTTGGGACGGAATTTGATGGGCAGGTTTCATTTACAAATCCCTTGGTGGGATTAGAACCCTCTGTTTAAGAAATGTCATTGTTCGTTCTTCATTTAATCACATTCCATTTTCCCTTGGAAACAGCCATAATAATTCTTACAACAAATCGTGCTGTTACTTAAGTGGATGGTTTGTGAATGGTTTATAAATAGGAACAGAAAAACTGAAGAATAACGATGTGATTATGTAAATTAGACACAGTCACTAAGTGGACTGTGCAATTCTGAACAAGAAATAGGGAAAAATAAACATAGGGGAAAGAAGGTGCAGCTGCAGATTATTTAGCTTTAAATCTAGCATTAAATGTAACTCTCCTACAAAAAAAAAAGAATATCTTTTTTCGTGGTAACCCCCTTCCAATTAGTTGCTATATTTCAAAATAAATCTCTTAAATATACGAGGCAAGAAGACAACATAACGAGAATTCATTTTTTAATTCAACAGGCCATTGAATTTCAATGAGCAGTTTCCCTGTTAAATTCAGGAGCTTTGTTTTGAACTACAACATACATATTTTAGGCAGGCATTTAATATTAAATTCTTCAAGTGACGAGCATTCGCCCATCCCTCCTGTTGCAATAGTTAATTACCTCAGGTACGTTTTTCACTTGATTTTTCTATTTGCATTTGTAGCTCCACCTTAAGTTATTTTGGTCTTTTTATGCCTTTGATTGCTTATATTGATCTCTGTAGTATCAGCTTTTCTAATTGCTTGTGTGTAGCTATAAATCATGATTATGTCCCTTTTAACCTTTTCTCTGATGAGATATACTGAATTCCTTAACTTTCCTATGGAAATGAATGCTATCCAAGACTAATTCATCTTCACGTTCTTCTCTGTACTTCTCACATATTTAAATGTTTCTGTGTGACCTCTGAATGAGATGCTACGTGTCAACAGTGATCCAGCAGGACTGTACAGACATAGTGTGATCTTCTTACTCTGATAAATACCTCCCTACCCTATTTCCACAGAAATCACATTATCCTTCTTTTTGCAGAAGCATTACCTTGGATGCTGACTTTTACGGCTCAGGTCCTCTTCAGAGTCTCTTTCTAGAATGTGGTGCTTCGTCCCCTTATTATCCTAACGTATTTTTTCTTGGAAGTATATACTGTATTTTACCAGCCTTAAAATACTGCTTATGAAGCGATCCAGATTGCTGTCTGTAAGTGACCTGTCCCCATTCTTTACTACTCCAGCAGCCTGCATGTCCTTTGCAAATTTATTGCAAGTGATTTTTACAGTTTCTTCCAGATCATTGATTTTTAAAATTGAATGCAAGGCAAGGTTTGTAGAAAGAGGTGATAAGTTTTTATTAGATCGGTGACATGGGTGGGGGTGGGGAAAAGCAAACAGGCCATTGAGTTCATGTCTCTTTTTTCCAAGAGCCTTTAAAAACTGCATAAGACAGAAATTCAGGGCAAGCCTCCATGCATCCTGCTGATTCCCTATGAATACTGCATTTTGAAACTAGTTATCTGTTTTCAGTGCAACAGTCTGTACTGATCTTTATCTGTGACGGGTATTTTAGAGAAACGAATGTTCGTCTGGTGTGCGCCGGGTGCCCCGGGGTCCTAAGGATAACACTTCAGTGCAGGTGTGTTTGTAAGCTCAGCTTACTGGATCAAAGCAAAAAATGCAGCCTGTTGTCTGAGACCTCTTCTCCATGAGGTGGTGTCGATTGACATAGACTCTATCCTTGAGTTAGTCTCATACCATCCATTTCACTGCATTGCCCTGATCACCGTAAGCAAACGAGGCCATTAATTACCCTGATCATCCTCTTTCCGCACAACAGTATTGTTCTTGCAGTCCTAAGAAATGTCATGACACTGCTGAGACTTGTTAAACTAATTACATGTTTAGGCTCCTACAGCTGGAAATGTTTCTGCTACCGAATGTAGTTTCTGCTATTTTAAGCAACCAATATATAATCCCTGTTATGAAGCATCAGTTGACTTCAGGTTTTAATATTTATTGTACTGACTTAGTCTTTTTTCTTTTTTTTCCCCTCATGTGTTGCCTCTTATTACTGCCTTCTCATCTTCTGTTCAGCAGGCTGCTTTCACTGATTAAAAACTGCAGGCTACCAGTGAGCGTTGATCTCAGCAATACAATAACGTCAGTTCTAGGGAAGAGATTTGTACTCTGCTTTTGTCTACTCAAAAGAACATAAATAAAAGTAATAAAGCCAGCAAATTCTAGGAGTATAATTACAAGATATATCTGTGAGGAAAACTTAAATTTTTTTTTGGCTTTTCCACGCGGTGACCAATTATAATATTTCACTAAGACGCTGGTCCCCTTCTAATCATTAGAAGACTTGTTCAGGAATTAGAACTTCTCCATTGTTGTTTGCCTCAAGTGTGCCTGACTGTAACAAGGGCGAAAATTCAGCAGGAGAACTCAATAGCTGAGTCATTTGACTAGCATGTACAGACAGTGCAGAAATAGGAACTAATTCACAAAGGGTGAAGGGAAGTCAGGCAGCCTCCTGCTGGGGTGAGGCTGGGTAAGGCAGCATGAGATCAGAGGCATCTCCTGGCCCTTGCAGCCCAGGTATTTGCCTCTCACAGCTGTGCAGGCAAACCAGTGCACTGCTGCCTTGTGGTGGAGTCTGGAGCAAAATAGTGTTCTTGCGGAGACACTGCACTGCTAGTGAACTGCCCCACCTGCCTACTGTTGTGCAGCAAAGATGTTGGTAGCTTTGTGCATCTTGTTCATTTGCTGCTTCTGAGCTGCACTGATATGCTGCTTTTGTGAAGAACACGTCAAGCTTGCTCTGAAATTTGTCCTGCTTGTTCTCTGCTGGAATTAATTAATTTCTGCTTAAAAGCAATTAAGTAGTGAGATTGCAGCCTTGAAGTATAGCGAAGACAACAGCCAACCTTTCTGTTAGGAAGCACGGTTTAAAAGCTAGTCCAAACTTGAATGTGAATTTCACGTAGCATGAACAACTTCTGCAGTGCTGCCTGCACAAGGCCTTGATTTAGCAACTTTTTAGATGGTACTTTGTGTTTTGTGCTGTTTACTTGGTCTTGCAATTTTGAAGACTTTAGCTTAAATGTTTACATTTTTATATTTGTAATTTTTTTTTTCTGTAGTAATGGTTATAAGTAGTTATTTTTATGGTACTTTTTACATATCTTAAAAATACTGTCCTAGTATTCAGAATTGATTTGTAATTAATTACAGGAAACGAATGTATTGTGAAATATTGGAACAGGAATTCTAATACTGTGCTGCAAACGTACTGTATTTGGATTGAAATTAAAGATGCTTTTAGAGAAAAAGAGTTTCAGTGTCATTTCCTTCAGTCCTAGAATTCCATAAACTTTTTTTCGTGGCTGGTGGCTACTGTCCAATCAGAGGACCTGTGACTACCTTCAAAGAGCTCGCATCCGACCCTGACTATTGAGCTTGGCTTCCAGCTACTGGGGGCAGCAGCAAACAGCACTGCTCTTGGTTTTATTAACAGAAGGAAGAAAGTATTTGGCAGTGTGCATCACTTGCTCAACTAGCAGGGCAGTGTATCCAGGAGATCTGTGTGTGCTCTGCCAACATCACAAACACCATCCTTTTTTTTCCCCTTGCTTTGGGCAATCTTATAGTGACTCCTGTTCTTGCTGGACAGAGCTCAGAGCAATTCTGCTTGCTTAAAGCCAACTGCTGCTCAAGTGAGGTATACTTTTAATTATCGTAAAAGAACTGTAATAAACATAGAGGGAGTTGTTAGATGTTTTAATTGTAGACTATTTGACTGATTTATGAATCTGTGAAAAAAACAGTATGATTGATAATTGCAAGGCAAGCCAATGCTGCTGAGTGTTTTAATGAAGATTGTCGTACAGCTAATGCTGCAGTATGCTTTAAGCAATGGTAGAAAAATCAGATATGATGATCTTTTCACATACCAGTGCCAAACGGTTATACTGTGATCCTTCCGTATGTGTATTTATAGATTCACAGAAAAATCTGTTTGTGAGACATTAAAATGCTCTTCATAGTGAAAAAGCAATTTTTCAACATGTTTAGATCAAGAAAGCTTTCTGAGTGTTCTTAATGCACCTTCCCAAAGGGAGAAAATTCATAACTAGTGAAGCATCTTTCACTCCATTGTGGCTTGTCTTCAGATTTCTGTAACTTTCACAGCGGGGACAAGAGAGTACCAAAAAGAGAGGATTTTCTTTTCAAACTTTTACATTTGTACATTTTCTTTCTGAGAGGCAGTCAATAAGAATCTCTCACCTGTGGTTGGGGTTTGTTTCATCACTGCGTATGAAGGTCGTACCAAAATATATCAAGAACTTCACATTGTTTTCTTTACCCTGAAGGCAAATGGCACCAGTCTTTTCCATCTTTCTTTGGGTTATACGTTCAATTTTCTGATCAATGTACGTTTCAAAATTCCACGCACATCTTGATTATTTGGTGCCCAGAGCTGAATACGCTTTAGCTGAGAGGTACTCTTGGGTTGCAAGAGCTCCATGTTATGCAAAGTACTGTCTATGCCTTAGCTGCTCTTTCCACCTTAGTGAAAAACAAATGTTTCCACTGATCTATGGCTGGAATCAATAGTTCTTAAATAAAGACCTTAGGAAAGAAAAGAGTTTCCTAGCTCTGCTCTAGTGAACTTAACATCTGACTTTCAAATTTCTCAACGGCCGGAAAAATATGAATGCGCAACTGTCACACGTAAGATGCTTTGTCCATACAACATTTGTTTTTCAGATGGTAGCAGCTGCTGTACTTCTTTTGTTTTTGCGTGATCATTATTCTTTAGTCCCTCACGGCTGTACACAAGAGTTGAGAGTATTTAAAATAAACTGAAAGCAACTGACTGGGCCTTCTCATGATGTGAATGTATCAGCTGGAGTCACAAGAGCTGGTGTACAGAACTGCCAGACTCAGCCTGCTGATCTGGTCGGTAGGAAAATCTGGTGCTGGATGCAGCTGCTTTGATGATATCGTGGGAATACGTTTTCTCATGGCCGCTCCAGGGAAGCACATCATGTGGAGAAGAAAGGGATGGGAATGAGCACGGTGTGGACATCTTTTCTCACACTGGTCTGAATTTAGGTGCTGCAGGTTTGCCTAGGGAGTCAGGACGGACAATTCAAACAGGAATTTCACAGCTGGAGAGCACGGCACCCTTTGTATGAAGAAGTTACCTTTGGGTGGCTTTCTGTTAAGGCCTTTGTTGGGCCCCTGGCTACTCTTGCTGCAGATCGGTCATGTCACAACGTATCTGTCACGGGCTCCAGGCACCCAGAGCAGTTCTCCCCCTTGCAATGCAGAAAGAGCCCCTAAGGGATGCATCAAAGCATCCCTTTGGTTGGTGAGGAGGTGCAAGGGTTTTAGTAATTTTCATTATTTTAATAAGAGTTTTTG